TTTAAGTATTCTCTACAAATTGTTCACTATATGTCAGCATTAAATTTTTACCGTTTTTGAGATATTTGACGTCAAAAAATGGTCAAAAAAGGTCATTTTTCAACTTGCTTCAATCTGACCAATTTTTTTTTTAAAAATCATCTACAAGTTCCCAGGAGTCTGAATCTGACCTCAGATTTGACCGTTGACCTTTAGTTGACCTTCGAAAGGTCAGAAAAGTTGATTTTTCAAATTGAGTCTTTGGATTCAAATTTAAGTCAGTCTAATTACAAATAGCCTACTGAGGTCTAAAAAAGTAAAAATTTCAAGGTCAAAGGTCAAGGTCATCAAATTAGGTCACAAACTGTGCTATCTAAGTTTCTCATAGTTCAAGACTACAAATCAATATTTTTAATTGAAAGTCAAGATGTACATTCCTCTGAGGGTTCTACACATATTAGTCATTGACTATTTATTAAAATTTTGTCCCAGTTTTGAGATATAAGAGCTCAAAAACTGAAAAAGGTCAATTTTTTAAAGTTTATATGGTCAAATTTGAACTTGCTTCAAATTCACCCAACTTTTTTTTAAAAATCATCTACAACTTCTCAGGAGTTCATATTTAACCTCAGATTTGACATTTGACCTTTAGTTGACCTTCAGTGACCTTCAAAAGGTCAGAAAAGTTGATTTTTCAAATTGAGTTTTTGGATTCAAATTTAGGGTAAGCCTAATCATAAAAGACCCACTGAGCTCTAAAACAGTAAAATTTTCAAGGTCAAGGGTCACAGTTATCAAATTAGGTCAAAGGTCAAAATCTAGGTCAAATCTAAAGTTTTTTCAAGTTTCTCAACTTTGTCCTTATACTTCATTATTTCTTGCGATGAATTAAACTGAAACTACATTTAAGTATTTTCTACAAATTGTTCACTATATGTCAGCATTGAATTTTTACCATTTTTGAGATATTTGACGTTGAAAAATGGTCAAAAAAGGTAATTTTTCAACTTGCTTCAATCTGACCAAATTTTTTTTTAAAAATTATCTACAAATTCCCAGGAGTCCGAATCTGACCTCATATTTGACCTTTGACCTTTAGTTGACCTTCGAAAGGTAAGAAAAGTTGATTTTTCAAATTGAGTCTTTGGATTCAAATTTAGGTCAGCCTGATTAAAAAAGACCTACTGAGGTCTAAAAGGGTAAAACTTTTCAAGGTCAAAGGTCAAGATCATGAAATTAGGTCACAAACTGTGCTTTCTAAGTTTCACAAAGTTCAAGACTACAAAACATATCCCTCTAAGGGTTCTACACATATAAGCAATTAACTATCAATTGAAAAAAGGTCAATTTCGAAATTTTTCAAGGTCAAATTTAAACTTGCTTCAAATTGACAAAATCTTTTTTTGAAAATCATCTACAAGTTCTCAAGAGTTCACATCTGACCTCAGATTTGATATTTGTCCTTTAGTTGACCTTCAAATTGTCAAAAATGCCTAAGAGGGCCTCCGTGAGATTGCTTGCAATCTTCAAAAGTCTAGTTATTTCACAAACCCTTTGTTGATTCTGCCATAGTTTCCAATTTGTAAACAGCATTTAGCCTTTTTAATTGGGAACTTTTTTGAAATTTCCAAAATGACTGCCATGTGATTCCAGAATTAACATGAGTGTGACGTGACATCACAGTTGCTCGTTCCTAGGTAACAACAAGATCACAATTGCTCGTTTCTAGATAGCAACAAGATTTTTGATAAAATGGCACAGAATTACCCTGATTAACACCCTTAAAATCTGATTTTCAAAGAATATATTTGGAGAAACAATAAAAAGTGGAATAAATTAGAAGATGGTTTCAAGTTACCACAGAAGTCAATTTGAAACTCAAGAATGCTTTCTTTGACTCATAATCACAAAAAAGTCGAGTGACATTTTAGATGGAGAATTTCTTAGCTATGATCTCAAATTGATGTCATATTTTTGGGACTAAAAATGCCGTAACTTTGCTGCCCGTGAACCGTTTTCATTCCATTTGCAGTTTTGAGCTTCTTTCACCAAGCTCTACCCTCTCAGTTTATTTTAAAAAATCTAATAACAGCTTTGAAAAATAATGTAATATCCCTATTAAAAGGAGTCATTTGATTTCAAAAGAATGTATTTTTAAAAATGGTCAGAAGCCCCTACTTATAGTAGGGATATTACATCGTCAGAGGTGGCGTTAACGCAATTTTTTACGTTTTTTACTCACATTTTTGCAACTCTGACGCAAATATTCATTGTCTACCGAGTCTTTCTGACGCACGTTTGTTTCACATGCAAAATCCCCGCTTGGTACTTGGTTAAATTGATCCCTATACGTGAAAATACGTGATTGATCAAATTTATAATTTTGCTAATTCCGGAAATCTAACATTTCGTTCAGCGCAATCGAGCCTCCTTCCTACCGATCATTTTCTCATTTCGGTATTTCATATAATTTTTAAAGCCCTGTGATTCAGATTCAATGATAAACTTGAAAACATTGATCGATCCCTCGATTTGTTTATTTCGTGAAGCACGTTGCTAGGGGGCGTATCAAAAATGCAATAAAACGAACATAACATTGAACAATAATTTATTAAGTTCATACTCCCTTCTAAGGATTTTAGTGATCGTATATTTATCTAAATTACCACATAAAATCTTCCCTTGAATGTTCACACGCTAGATTTACGAACCTTTAGTTTCCTTCGCAAGTTCGCAAAATTCCTTCGCTAAGTTAGCAAGTTTCCTTGAGCCGTCCCCTTCATCAGCATGCGCAGATGTAATGCGCAGTAGGTTTATCAATGGTGCTCACAGTGACCGATCTATCGTAAGTTTTCACCAAGTATTTTCAATTAACTCCCTCAAGTTAAGATCTTCGATTCACTAGATCTAAAGCTGATCCTATGAAGATAGATAATGGGCACATGAAAATCCAGTCGATCGCACATTAAGGGGGGTAATGATGATAAATTAGGTATGAAAACAAATCTACTTTCGGGTTCATTTGATCAGCTATAATTACAAGATTCTACCGTATTCAATTTAAATGATGCCCAGTATTGTGGTCGGACTTATATTGCCGTTTTAGACTTTGGAATGATTGCAAAAATGTTTAATTTCAACATGAAACGCTTTGACCCCAATTTGTGTAACTCCACACAGGGAGAAACTCCTCTCCCACTCCATTCACACCCATGACTCGCTGGACCAGATAATCAGATGATTAATAGTGACATTTTTCTTGCAATTGCCAAATTAATTAATTGTTAGTTGTTAATGTGCTATAAGAGTACAATAAAAGGTATGCACAAAATCAAAAAATAGATTTTGTATGTGGTTTCTACATTTTGTATGCATTTTTACTCAAGAAAAACACTTTTATAGCTTTGACTCAACTTTTTTTCTTGTGACTCACTTTTTTGAAACTACCTGAGTCATGATGACTCACAAAAATATATGCCTACCGCCACCGCTGATCGTCGTGGAAAACATGAGGAAAATACTTCCATGTTTTTTTGAAGCTGTTATTTGACATGTATTACAAGTCATATGGTGAATGTTTTGCATTATATTGGTAAAAAACAATAAAAACTGATGTATGAAGAGGAAAAAAATTCTTGTTTTGTTATTTAAATGACAGATATTAGACATTATACCTACAGTTGGTGTAAATTTTGCCGTGACATCACGGCACCATAAAAATACAAAACTCCAAAAAACTAACAATGGAAATCTCGATTTCCGCGTAATATGTCATCAGTTTTACAAAAATTGATTTCACAAATCGATAAAATACATCTAAATGAAGAAAAGATCGATTGAAACCAATTTTATATGTCTACCCATTTTTAAGTAGAGGCCAAAGCAGGTCAAAAATGGTAATTATTATCAGTTTTATTGAAATTTTGACGAGATCAACTATTATTTTGACTGGTTTCATTCAATTTATTATATTACAATATATAAGCTACAATTTGGTCAAAAAATTATGTAAATATCTCGTAGCATCTCTTGCGGAATTCGATCTGAAAACCACCACTCCAAAAAAATGTGACCCTCGTTTTCAAATCTCGCGTCGTCATCTCCGCCATATTGTTTACATTTGAAAAATTGAATATTCAAATTTGTCGGAATTAAAGGTAAATATCATCCTTATTTACTTATAAGAATGACAAACTTTAGTATCAGTGTCTTAGATAATGATGTTAAGCTATTAAAAATTCTATCTAGTCTTTGAATAGATTCTGTTTATGCCGTTTCTCGAGGTTGAAAACGCGAAGATCCTTTTTCGCAGGAAAATCATAGCACTCAATTGATAAATTTCAACTTGAAATCATCATTGTAAAGGATTAAGAAAAGCTGTATTCGATTTACTATTTGAAACAAGATCTCTGTGTGTTAATGGCTTTTCTTTGAAGTACACTTCAGTAATTATTAATTAATTATCCAATTTCCAAAGCTACGATTTTTATAACTCTATTATCACCCACCCGGAAATCATCCACTAAATGAAATATTCTATGTTCTATGTTCTAACTTATTCTGTGCCTGTATGGAAGTTATGCCAAGAATCATTTATGCTTTTTCAATGTATGTTGCATTGTCTTTTTCACACAGTTATAAGGCTAGAGAAGAGACATCAGTGTTGAGATATAGGTTATTACTGTACCAGCCAATATCAGTGTACTTTAACATCTACATCTACAGCTTGAGGTAAGTTGTTTTTGAGGTCATTTCATATAAGGTCATTGTCATTAGGACTCTATGTTGTATCAGTACAGAGAGCACACTGTATTAGGAAACCACACTGTTTAAAATAAGAGAATTTTCAATAGGCCATACATCAGTGGATGAGAGTATGCAAAATGTAAAATATACAAATTTTAGGGGCTATGTATCAAGAAAATACTCTTAAACAACCATTGTTTGGAAATGGTGATAGAAAATTAACTACTCATTTATTTATCCTTCGAACTGTAGGTAATTTTTGGCAACTTAGTTGGGCTTAGTACATGGATTAGATTGCCTACTTGTCCACTAAATAATACAATACTTAAGTGTAATTATGGTACATATTGGCTGATACATGTATGTATTTTACCAAATAATTCTAGTATGTTAGATAAATGCATTTTTATTTCTGATTTTTGAAACTAATCAATTAAATTTCCTCCTGTACAGATGTCAGATGAAAGTGAAGCAGAGGGTGAAGAGATGAATCAGGATTGGATTCTAGAATACAGTTGTCCGGAATGTTTGATACTTAGTACTGATGATATGGCAATGCAGTTGTGGACTCTGCATATGAATGAACATTTTTTATTTTTTACTGTATTTGGGGTTGACTTTGTTTTCTGCCCCCAATGTGCCAATATTTACCATCTTAATTGTATCATAAACTATATTACAGAGAGTGATCAAGATATTGCTTTTCTTCAAATTAAGTACCAGAAAGAAGTCCTCCAAACAAGGGGTGACAATGCTCTATTTACACAATCACAGAAAGGTGAGCAACATTCATTAGAAAAACTGAAACAAAATTTACAATAATATTATCTCTATCCAATGAAAATGACGAAGAAAGCGTGCCTAGAAATGATCAACCAAAAATTGGGTCACTACCTATAACCATGATAAAAGAAATATCATTATCAACCAAAGAAAGTCTGTTGTTGTCCATCAAAGCAGCTCGACAAACCAGGCTTGCCAAAATGTCAGAGAAAGAATTACTTCAAAAACTTATCCAGGATCCCGGAAAGTTGATTAAATGTTACATCGATCATAAATGCTACACAGATAAGAGAGAGGTGGAGTGGTTTCAGGGCAGGGTTGTCAAAATTATCAGAAAAGATGGGATCAAATCAATGTTTGAGGTAAAATATGATGGGTCACCTGAGAAGTGGGCCTTTGACCTCTTGAAAGACCTACAAAGAGGAGATTTGATTATTAGGTGAAATAAGTTGTGGTTTAGTTGATTAGTTCAAGGTTGTGTTTTGGCGTTTTGTTAAATTGTGGTTTTCAATAGGTGTTGTACATAAGTACAGTATTAGTTGAGAAAGGGTTAGATAAGGAAATACAAAATAGCTCAATCCAAAATATAAATAATTGTTTAACTCAGAATAGAAACTTGTTTAATTGAATACAGAATATATACTTGAATGAAATAAACAGTTCACTGATTTGATCAGAAATGTTAATCAACATGTTTCTACACTTTCAGGGATCTCCAGCTCTAGTCCAGAGGCCTCATTATCATCTGGTCGCAAATAGTTGCGTTGCGTCTGTGATGCGATTGCGATCGCAATTCGTAACGCATGCGATGCGTGATATTATCAATTGAGCGCAATCGCAGACGCAAAGCAATCGCAAAACAATTAAAACGTAAGTTGCGATCGCAAGTCTAGAGTGTATTTTGGCGCGAAATTTAAAAGGACACTGGCGCTAGTTTTTGACATTGATTGATTGAAATTGATAAAATCCAATAATTGATATGATTTGATTGGTTGCGCATGCATTACACTTGTGCAAGACATAAGTGCGCCAAAATGCAAATCGATTTACATTGAACAGACGGTAGTCGAAGAAACATGTCGAGGGCAAGGAATTGGACAAATGATGAACAAGAATTATTAGTATCTCTCATTGAGAAGGATGCAAATATTCTTTTGGCACCATTTAGCTGTCAAATAACATTTACAGTCACAGGATAGTTGCTGGGCAAGGGTAGCTGAAAAAATAAGTTCACTTGGTGTGGAAATGAGGACTAGAAAAAACGTTATGTAAGTCACACATCACTGAAAATAAATAACTGTTAAAACGGGAAGTTGTCATGTTACTGAAACTAACTGAAATAAAATGAACATTTGGTCGTTGTTGTATGTGTTCTACAATGCCTCTATCTAAAATCCGTCAACATAATTTTTCAACAGACAATGAAACGATAACAGCTAATGAGTTTTCTATTTGGTGGTGTATATTTTACATTTTATACACATGCAAGAAAATTGCAAGTTGTGGGTTCCATATCGATATGTTTAAATATGTCTCCAGTGTATTGCATTTATTTTCCTTTGGAACAAAATATGAAACACGTCTTTTGCATTGTGATCAAAGCAAATCATGTTTGAATCAGGGTCGGGATGAAAATGTGAAAATCTACAATTTTGAGACGAACTCTCATTTCAAATTGAAAATCTAACTCTTTCCGACGAGTCAACTTCAATGCGATGGGTGATGCTTGAACAACAGATACAGAGTTCATGTCTATGTAAAAACGAAAATCGTGCTTTTTCATTTTTAAACTATTAAATTTAACAACTTAGTAATTTGCAGTGATATGCAAATTCCATTCTATTATGTAGAATTAACAACGTTTCTATTCATATTCAAACTCGATCAAATAAAATGTCTTTAATATTTAATCTATATCTGGGAACATGGTAGAGATCATTCAGAAAAACGAGCACCTCAAATACTGTACAAAGATACCACAGGAGTTCAACCATTGTTTTAACAAATCCATGTTCCAATTCAGGAAGAAATGGAGCGACTTGCAAAGTCGGACAAAAGTGGCAGTTAACAGAAGGGTGACTGAACGATGTAGGTGAGGTACATATACACTAGGAATACTCAGAACATTAGTGTAGTAGTGGCAAGATTAATTCACCAAACCAGCTTTATTAGCTAGATAAATATTTAATAGTCGAAAATCCTATGTTCCAAAGAGCACGAAATATTGCAGGCACCAATCTAAGACGTATACAGTATGTGATGCGTTCGCAATATTTAGAAACAAACGTGATTTTTAAGGATTTACAGGCTCAATTAAATGTATATCTTAATCATATAAAATAAATAAAATTGAACAATTTCTTCGATACTATTGATTAATACTTAACAGGTAGTGAAATGACCGATATAAAACACCACAAAATATCCATTAACATAGATAAAATAACGCTCAAAGATGAACTAGATTTGCGATTTGATTTGCGACAGGGTAAACGTCGTCGCAACTTTTCGTTTAGTTGCGATCAGAAAATCGATAACTTTGCGTCAGACTTGCGATGCGATGGAATGATAATAACATTTTTGGGAAATAGTTGCGTTGCGATGTCTTGCGATGCGATTCGCATGCGATTTTGCATTGCGACCAGATGATAATGAGGCCTCAGTACTCTCCACCATGTAAATAGTGTACATACAGTAAGTATGATTTATTTAACTGTACAAATGGCAATTCTGAACATTCCATTGTATATGTAAATATACTACATACATACAGTAAATAAGAAGAATTAAGTGTTTGAAAATGTAGATGCAAACTTTAAAGATACAGCGGAAGTGGTATACCCGATTTACGACTTCCGCTGTATCTTTAAAGTTTGCATCTACATTTTCATGTTAGCTCCCTGCTAGCAAACGATACGTTTATTTGCACTCATATATAGTCATACAACTACACACCACGGCCTTTTGTACGAGTTGTGGATCACTTTGAACATTATTTATTTTTTACAGGTGCAAGTTAGGATGACTTCCCCTGAAAAAGACGTAATGCCAAAAGCAGCACGAGTTCACCACAATGTATCAATTTTACCCGTAAATCCTGTAATGCGGGGCATTGACACGAATATGACAGATGCCCAAGCAGAGGACGAGTTCTTCTAGTAAGTCACAGAACATGGTTATATTCGATAAATCCGTAAAGCTAAGTTCACACCAACGGGGTTTTGATGGCTCTTTAAAGCGGCATGACAAGAGGTTTTGCAAGGCGCTTTAAAGCGCCATCAAAGCGCCGTTGGTGTGAACTTACCTATATATGCTATACCTGCACATGTTATTTTCTGGTACAAAATAAAGTATGAAGGCATGAAGGTAACTCCTGTGTCGTCCAGAAACGTGGAGAAAAAACTTGGAAAATTAGAAAGCATGAAATATCAGCATTTCCTGGAGTTACTATTTACCTCTTTCCAGGTTTATTAAAAGAAGATAAGGTAATGATGCTTTTCTGAAAAAGCAAGAAAACACATATGTCTTCATACTTTATTCTGTCCCAGAAAAATCAGAAAATATGTGCAGGCAAAGGAATTTTTTCAAAAATGTTTTCGTTCCACCAGTACCTTAAGATCGAGTTTACATATAGTTGTGTGTGTATGTGTATTTTGTCCTTCATTAACAAAGTCTGATTATCTTTAATACCAGCAAATGTACTTTTCTTAGACATATACATGTCTTAGCAACCATAATTGGATTTGTTTTTCAGCTTGACTACTCACAAGCAGGTCAATTGCAAGACAAGGGTGCGAATAGGAAAAAAGGGGGATGGGGGTTGGGATGCGTGTAATGAAGAGCCATACAAACTACGCGAACCATGTCTTGTTTACTCTATTGGGTACGTACTAGGCAGTCGGATTTTCCTATTTCACAGTTTGTAAAACTCGTTCAACTTTTAAAAATATTGGATTTTTTGGCTCACTCTGTAGATATAATATAAACATTGCACACCTGAGGTTTCAGGTCAAAGAGTTGAAACATATTTCTACTACTAAAGCAACAGTTTAATTTACTCTACGGCGGACGTACGGGGGCCGCAGCTTCACAAAATCAATATAGAAAATCTACATCGTACTGCCTATCCCTATATTTTAAGCGACACATTTCTTTTGATTTTGGCAAGCTACTGTACGGTTACGGTTACGCTGTACGGTTGCCGTATATCAGATGTGACTAAGGTATTCGATAAAAATCTAGTATGACCTCCATCGGTTTCATTTTCAGAATCAACAATGATTGGAGCTTTGATGATGCCGTTGTAAAGCAGGCTGGCTGCGAGGTTCATGCATTTGACCCAACGTAGGTAGCATATCTATTTGCTAATATGTAAAGCTAAGTTCAGACCAACGGCGCTTTGATGGCGCTTTAATGCGACGTGCAAAGCTGCTTTGCACGCTGCTTTAAAGCGCCATCAAAGCGCCATTGGTGTGAACTTAGCTTAACAACTACTAGTATGCTTTGCTTACTTAACTACATTTTTCTAACAAAGCCATTAATGTGTTCTGAGTAATGAATATATAGAGATGTTTCAAGTGTGTTCAATCTTTGGTGTTGTCCGATTTGAGGCCCCTTTGACATGTTTGACATCTTATTGCACCCAGATACGGAACATTGGAAACGTTCAAAAGGAACACCTTAGAATTGCTTAGCAGAGTTTTTTCAAAATTCTCCCACAAAAACTACCACTTTTTATAAAATTTACCGCACGGGCGAACTTAACAATATTATATAGGCCGGATTTTTGTGCTACCGCATTGGTTGGGTATCATCGGGCGACGGTAACACAATTTTCCGGGCGGATACTAATGGAGACGCGCAATTTCTATTGGTTAAAATCAATCGCGGGAATAAAAAACATTCGTGCGGAAACATGAATTATTCGCGCAATTGTTCGCGCGGTTCTGGCGGCGATACCGCGTCATACTCAACATCATAAACTTATGCATACCTTAGTAAATTGTGAATGAAAGAATCCCACGTGCGATTCAGTTCCAAGATTATGCTAAAATCGCGAAAATAAATCGTCGCGAAATTTACCTATAAAATCCCCGGGGACTTGTCAATCTGTTATTATAACCTGGTACTCTAATGCGTTTCGTTTTGTGTTAAACGTTCATCCAGTATTATCGTACGATAAAAGGGATAATGATAAATGTATCCTTCACTGGCTTATTTAGATCAAATAAACCAAAAAGTGACGATATTATATATACGTATATAACAATTTCTAATTGCATGACAAGATCTTCCTACCATCACGTCGGCGTGACAGGGTACATGTGTGAATAAACAAGATGCACCCATATTTAAAAAGGTATACCCGATTTACGACTTCCGCTGTATCTTTAAAGTTTGCATCTACATTTTCATGTTATTTGCTTTGTAGTATGAATATAACCGATCACAAGAGAGGGAAATCCATATACTTTCATAACATAGGACTAGGTGTAGAAGACACAATTAATGATCTGGGATGGAAGATGAGGCGTGTCTCCACAATCATGAAGGATCTGGGACATGATAATGTAAGGAACACTTCCCCTTAAAGGTTCTGCAACTGGAAAACTTATTTTACATTTCCGATTTCAACAAAATTATACTAGTATCTATCATGATTTCCCATGAGATTCCAACAATACGTTTTTAAAATTTTTACTGGACTTTTGGTCATAGGAATTTTTTCTTGTTTTTATGTAAAGCTAAGGTCACACCAATGGCGCTTTGATGGCTCTTTAATGCGGCGTGCAAAGCGGCTTTGCATTAAAGCGCCATCAAAGCGCCGTTGGTGTGAATTTAGCTTAAGAATCGGCGTGGGATGCCTCAATATTAAGTCTATATTTAATACGATTTTGTAATAATTTATGATTGTATTACACATAATTCATTACTCTACTTATCATGAAATAAATGTGCTTTAAACCGAAAGTGAATTTATTTTTCAGAAGATAATAGACTTTTTCAAAATGGATATAGAATATTCAGAATGGATGGTGTTTCCTGAGATGATCAGAGATGGAGTTCTGGGAAAAATTAAACAACTTGTTTTCGAATTTCATACACATATGCGAAAACACACTGGCAATACTGTAGCAAGTTCTCATTATGAAGAACCCACAAAAGAACAATACATAACAATGTGGAAAACTTTAGAGCAATTAGAAAAAGCTGGTCTGAGACGATTTTTTCACAACACTAACTGGGGAGGAAAGTATCAATCAAAGTATACGAGGAAAATAAGATCACCTTACCAGGAAGTGTATTATCTAAATGTTAACTATTTAAACCCACATTGAATTTACTTCTTCTTTAGATAGTAGATCTTTTAAATTCTTGTTCACGTGTAAAAGGCATGCATTTTTAGATTTTTATGTCACCACCACAAGTGGTGACATATTGTTTTCGTGGACGGCAATTTGCGGCGTCTGTTAACAAATGACAGGTGGTGACATTTTGCCGTGTATCTTTTATTAAGATCTAAAGCAATCACTCTAAAAAATATATACTTGTGGTTGTATTATTTTTACATTTTCACGTAATTTAATTACTGGGCCAGGTAATTGTTTTTGTACCTTTAGGGATTAAATTTTGTAATTATATTACCTGGTCAGTATTAAATATTCAACCTAGTAATTCCAGTAATTTACATTTTACTAAAGTAAAAAATAAATTATTTGTATTGCAATAACAATTACTTATTACATATTTCTGTACTACACTGTGGCTAGTCGATCTATGTGGATGCAGTCAAGCACATGTAATGTTTCATGAGTACCCGCCTCTGTACTTTTCAATGGAAGAATTTTGCACTTTTGTTTAAATAATCTATATTTACTCATCCGTGTATATCATACTTCATTGATTTACCAAACCAAAGCAACGCTATAAACACACATTCTCTGATAATTTTACAGCGAATAGATAACTCAAACGAGTTCACTCGACCAGTTTTATCACCTCGCTCATAGCTGTGAGAAGGTATGTATAATTGCCATAGGTTTACCTTATAATGGGGAATAAAAAATTCAAGTAATATAATTATTTCACGTACACAAATATGTCTGTGTGAAGTAAAATACAAATACAACGCATTTTATAATATTTTTGGGGTTATGGTATGAAATATCCGCTTTAAAAAAGCAATTTAATTATGATGTATCATGTGGATTAGTAGACGTTCTAATTGGATTCAATGAACAGACTGGCTAGGTTTTAATTGAATCATTTTGAATGTGTGTATTTTTAATATTTTACATATATTTCTTAAACGCTCTCATTGGATACATCAGGAAGAAACAACTATGGTTACATATAAACTTGAGTTGGGACAATAATTCAACAAAAATATAATTTTACAGTAGTATACGGTGAATATTTGATGCCCGACGATAATCTGATGTTTACTCAAGATGATGGACATCTTAATTTTATTTTCCATATATATCACAACTATTTTGTAGATGCTTCATGCTTATTGTCAGTGTATCTGCTGTCACCTAGAATTTAGAAGTATAATTTATAGTCGTGATTCTTACCAACTGCAACTCCAGACCACCATACCAAGTCTGTGCTAAAAAAGCGATTGTTTCTAGATCGGCCAGAGTTCCAACAATATTATTACAAATAATCAGTAAACAGGATTACCATATATGTAAGTTTGTAATAAAGCAATCCTAGATTGCATTTTGTTCTATAACACCGAATGTTTAAATCACGAAATATTATAACGATGGCTTCCTCCACCAATGTGCTACTGCAATACTTATAGCGAAGCCTGTGTTGATCAGGACCATTTTTTATTATATTTTATTATCATAAGAATTAAAAGTAAAGATGAATGAAGTCTTACCTCAGAAACTTCCCATGAAACAGACGAAAGCCCATGAACCAAAAGTATTTAGTTTCCTTTCTGTACCTTACTTGTTTGGCAGATGGAGCGGTGAAATAGTCCACAGTGTCCAAAAAGAATAATAATGCTATATTGGTAATTGGAAAGATTCCACTTATCACGATTTCAAAACAATTGTAAATAGATAATATAATTCTTGAATTTTGGTCATTTGTTTCAAGGAATCTGTAGGCTCTTTCAGCTGAGCTGACAAAATCATCAAGATTTACAGATGGTCCATCTGTTGGCTGCTCATTGTCACTTTCAAGGAATGTTAATGGCTCTGAAACTTGATCTGTGGGTATTCCAGTGGGTTGATGGTTCTCGGGCTCTGAATTCACTTGATTGGCGTACCTAATTTCAACATCTTCATTGTCATCATTACATGTTATGGACCCGTTTTTTCAAGTTAACAGTATTAGGGATGAAACCATAGTTTTTTCTTCTGTAATGGCATTTTCCAGTTGACGGGTCTATATAAAGTCTATCAATTTTCAATTCTTCATGAGGGTGTATTGTAATGGTGTGGCTAATTACTTCACTGAATAAGGAATGTTTATCCAAACAATGGATACAAAGAAAATCTGGCCAGTTGTCCATCTCTAAATAAATCATCATGATAAAACCATTATTTATTATAGCATCCATTTGTTACCGTTCTGAATCCAAATGATACATAGTTGAATCCATTTGATACATATATGTTGACGTTTACGAAATGTTGTTCAAATATCTTCCCTATAACAGGAATATGCTAGCTGAAACGTTCACACATTGTCATACTATGTATATTGAATATGTATGCAAGATTTCAAGTCAATATGTTAAGTAGAAACCCTGAGATCACTTACCTCGATTTTCTGTCATATTTTTTCAACGACCCCATTCCCTATAATGTACGCGAGAACCTATGAAACATTGCATATACATGACTGCATCCACATTGATCGACTAGCCACAGTGTACTAAGTAATTTTTCATTATTGGTGATTATGTGATATTTAGTAATTACAATACTGGTAAGTAATTAAATTTCTTAAGTTTTAGAATTACCAATTAATATTTTTTTAGAAATACTTGTTTTGATTAACTAGTGGCTTGGATTTATATACATAGTAATTTGAGGACTATTGTTCTCAAGAATCCACTATGTCCATGAATACCTGTACTTACGTACAGCACTGAGAACAAATTATAACTTTACCTAAATAGAGAGCAGATCTAATAGATAACTGAATATCACAAAATTGAGTTTTTCTCCTTATACTGATTTCAAATAGAGATAACCTTTACCATGCTGCCTTATTTCAGCAAATATATCCCATGCAACTGGCTTATTTTTCAAAGAGTGCAAAAAATGATATGCCTGGACTAAATAATTAATATCTCAATAACTACTGAATGAATCTGGATAAAATTTTCACAAAGGGAAGATACAGTGGCCTGGCTCATGAAAAAAATGTTCTCATGAATTTTTTCGTACATTAACACGACTTGGCATAAATATACCATGAATACTCCTCCGGAATCCGCCGCTCCGCCTCTTCGTCTGGTCAGAATCCAAATCTGAATTTGCAGCGATCGAATGTTCAATTTTTCAATTCAGAAAATATTCTAGTTTCTATTTTCGATGACCGTTATCGGCTTCCAAGAGCCTAAAGAGCTCGAAATCGTAATCTATTTCCTCCACATTTTCGTTGTGATCGTATTTGTCCACCATTTTGTACGATTCGTTCACTAAAAACGACTAAAACACTGTTTAAAATTGTTGAATTGAGAATTATTTTTCGAAATATCGCCATTTCTAGGTCAACAGGAAGTCATGTTAGGCACTGAATAAATCGGGCAATCTAATTGGACAATACGAATGGCGCGAAAAAGTAAAGTTTTTAAAAGTTTGAAATCGGGCGTACGGGTCCGCCGGCAGTTGTGAGAGACATTTTAGTCTCGGCGGACGAGTCCGCCGGCAGCACGCTAAAGGTTGTATGTTAATCAGCTTCATATAAAATAGACATAGTTCTTTGCAAATGTATCATTTTATGATTTTGTTACAGTTTTTTTTGAATGAAGAATCGATTTTTGATTTAAAAAGAGGTAAATTAAAAAAACATAATTTCAAACTACATTTAGTAATTCAACAACTACTTTGTAATTTGAAATACTTAGTAATTAAATTACAAGAAGGGGATTTGTGATCTGTAAAATACACTGAGAAAAAGACATTTTATAAGTGAATAACATGTATGAATAATTAATTTACTTTGGTGGAACTATGATTACTGAAATGGATCAATTTACAAATGCAAACAATATTTGGCAATAAACATTTGATTTCACTTAAACAAGTAATAACGTGAATGACTTACAGAAGTACTAAGTAATCATATTGAGAGTGGTAGTAAATTACTAGTATATCTAGAAGAAATTACTCAGTAATATAATAACATACAAATAAAATGAAAATACAGATATTAGTAATTTATTAACATTGATAGTATAATAATTACTGAATTTAGTGATTCACATCCAAAAAACAATTACCTAGTAATTACTAGTAATATAATTACATAAATGTCATGCGACAGTTCCTGAGCCATTCGTCCAAATGCCCATGCACAAATATGAGCGCAGTAGCTGTGCACGAATCCGACCACGAACCCTCCCTATAAGAATCGAAACTGGACACGAGTATGCCTATGCAACTAGAGTGTTGAAGACGAACCACATTCTAAATAATACAGGAGTTTAGCCTAGTTCAACGTCGTTAAACTCAATAACGGCGTTCTTTACTATTAGGAATTTTCTTGGGGTGTGAAAGTGGGTTTACAAGTCCTGGACTTTAAAATCTAGAATCTATATTCCCTCGGACTTCTAAACCTTAGTAATGAACGTCTTGGTTATGGGATTTATTGTCTCTTGTGGACTTGTAAACCTAGATTTAATTATCCATAAGATTTCAACCGGACTATCACACCTAAGATTTATAGTCTGGATATGCTACAGTTATCTTTAGGCCTGCGTCGCAAAAACAAATAAACAAACAAACAAACAAATTACTAAGAAATTCTCCATCTAAAATGTCACTCGACTTTTTGGCAATTAAAAGTCCCTGCCTGCATTTAGTAGTCATATATTGTCATGTGCATAATTTTGAAACCATATCCTAATTATTTCACAAACCCTTTGTTGATTCTGCCATAGTTTCCAATTTGTAAACAGCATTAAAGCCTTTTTAATTGGGAACTTTTTTGAAATTTCCAAAATGGCTGCCATGTGATTCCAGAATTAACATGAGTGTGACGTGACATCACAGTTGCTCGTTCCTAGGTAACAACAAGATCACAATTGCTCGTTTCTAGATAGCAACAAGATTTTTGATAAAATGGCACAGAATTACCCTGATTAACACCCTTAAAATCAGATTTTCAAAGAATATATTTGGAGAAACAATAAACATAGCCGTAGGGACCGGGGGTTCGATGGGTTCGGACGAACCCCCGGTCGGGATTCCCCCTCAAAAATATTTGTGGAAAATTCATTGCAATAACCAATAACATATATTCAATTTATATGACTAGTAGATAAAAATAGTAAATTTACACTTCTCTCCAAAAGATTGGCAACCTCAGGCACGGGGTGAGATTGTTTAATTTTGGGAAGACCCCGGAGCATTATGACATTATGCAAAGAAAAAATATCAATAAAAAGCTGCTCCATCTACAGTGAAATAAACAAATTGTCTTAATACTGATG